ACGGCGAGTTGGAGGGCGTCGACGACGGCGTCGCAGAGTTGGAGGGCGACTGCGAGGGCGTGGTCGACGGCGAGGGCGAGTTGGTGGGTGTCGACGACGGCGACGGCGAGTTGGACGGGGTGGTCGAGGGCGACGGCGAGTTGGACGGGGTGGTCGACGGCGTCGCAGAGTTGGAGGGCGTGGTCGATGGTGACGGCGAGGTGGACGGGGTGGTTGAGGGCGTCGCAGAGTTGGAGGGCGACTGCGAGGGCGTCGTCGACGGCGAGGGCGAGTTGGTGGGTGTCGTTGAGGGCGACGGCGAGTTAGTGGGAGTCGACGACGGCGACGGCGAGTTGGACGGGGTGGTCGACGGCGACGGCGAATTGGACGGGTGGTCGACGGCGACGGCGAGTTGGAGGGCGACTGCGAGGGCGTGGCCGAGGGTGAGGGCGAGTTGGTGGGAGTCGACGAGGGCGAGGGCGAGTTGGACGGGGTGGTCGACGGCGACGGCGAATTGGACGGCGTCGACGACGGCGTCGCAGAGTTGGAGGGCGACTGCGAGGGTGACGGCGAGTTGGACGGCGTCGACGACGGCGACGGGGAGTTGGACGGAGTCGACGATGGCGATGGCGAGTTGGAGGGCGAGCTCGAGGGCGTCGCAGAGTTGGAGGGCGACTGCGACGGGGTCGTCGACGGCGAGGGCGAGTTGGTGGGCGTGGTCGACGGGGACGGAGAGTTGGACGGGGTCGACGACGGCGACGGCGAGTTGGACGGGGTCGACGACGGCGAGGGCGAGTTGGACGGGGTCGACGACGGCGACGGCGAGTTGGAGGGCGTGGCAGAGGGCGATGCCGTGCTCGAGGGCGTGGAGGAGGAGGAGGGCGTGGAGGAGGGCGAGGGCGTGGAGGAGGGCGTGGAGGAAGGCGAGGCAGTGGAGGAGGGGCTATTGGTGGGCGAAGTTGAAGCCGTCGGGCTCGCCGTAGGAGTGTTGGTCGGGGTCGTGCTGGGGGGCGGAGAGGAGGAGGGCGTGGGTGAAATCGACTGAGAAGGAGAAGCGCTGGGCGTTACCGTTGGCGTACGGGTCGCCGTGACCGAGGGCGTGGGTGACGAATCAAAGAGCACTGCCCCACACAAACCACCAATCAGCTTTTTGGTCCAAAATATATATATAACAGAAAATATAACCACAAAATTGTATGTAACAGATAACTCGTTTTGTGTATCGCTCTCAACGTACCAGGGGGGTGCACGCTACAGTTCGTGGTGGAAGCGGAGGCCTCACCGTTGAAGTAGTAGTTGGTGCGACCAAGGGCGGTGGCTGCATTGCACACAAACAAATGATGCGATTGGTTGGTGTGCGAGAGGAGGGGTGTTAAAAAAAAGAGCCGTACAGATGATCATGTCGTCGGCGGTCCTGTTGAACAGGTTGACCACCTCAATGTTGTAGCCGATGCCGGTGGTCAGCGGGCTGACCACCTGGAAACCCAGCGAGCCGTCACCGTTCGCCAACTCGCCCACGCTCCAGGACGTCTTCACCATCAAACACGCACGACGACATCAACACAAGCGGCACCGAGATGAGCGAGGTTTTGGTGAACGGGGGGAGAGGCGCGGGTGGTACCTTGCTGAAGGTACAGGTACCGTAGAGGGTCGTGACCATGCCTCCGTTGCGGGCGTTGAGGGTGGAGCGGGCCACGTTGGTGCCACCGATGATGTCCATCACGCCGTCGCCGTTCACGTCTCCCACTTCAACTGAGAAACCAAAGTTTTGCGACGCCGCCGAACCGAACAGCGCGAGACCCTGTCATGTCATGAGTCGTGTCGTGGTGTGTGTCGTGTCGTGTCGTGTGTGCCGTGTTGTGTCGTGTCAGCCAGAAAATGGTGGAATTTGGGCAGAGGAAGTGCGAGACACGAACCTTAGTAGCCGCACCAGCGGTGAGGAGCAGGCCTGCGTGGGCCACGTAGCGGTTGTTGTCCTGGGCACCGAAGAAGACTGACACTGAACCAGCGCCGTCGAGGGCACCAGTGGGGCCGTCATTGTAGGGCGCCGACACGAGCAAATCCGTGGCCGCATCGCCGTTCACGTCACCCGCCCACACGTCAAAACCTGCCGGCCCAAGTGTGGTCAGTGTTCTGACCTTAAGTCGCGTGTGTTGTGTGTGTTGTGTGCGGGTGTGCGGGTGTGCGGGTGTGTCGTGCGTACCGAAGTTGTCGAGGGAGTCTTGACCCTCGATGACGAAACCGATGTCGACGGGGATGATGGAAGTGGCGGAGATGGACGCCGCGAAGCCACGGCCAGGGCATTGACCGTGGATGACGAACACGGCACCAGTCTCGCCCAAGCTCGGCCTGTCGGTTCACATCAACACGCGCACAGAACGCGCGCAGGCAGACACACCGGTCAGTTGTTGCGCGACAGTGTGTCGCGACACGGGGTGGAAGCGCACCTGGAGACAGACGAATAGGTGGGGGCACCGATGATCAGATCTTGGCAGCCATCGTAGGTGATATCGCCCGTAGCGAGAACGCTACCCAGCTGATCGTTGAGCGAACCTGTGGTGTGTGTGTGTGTGTTGTGTGTGTCAGCATAGGCACACGCACGACCGCATGCACCAATTTATATCAGCAAACGTACCAACGACCTGGAAACCGGAAGCGCCGTCGAGTACGCTGTAAGTGAAGTTGAACTCGGAGGTGTACGAAGAACGACCGAAGAAGCAGGACACGCCACCAGGGTTGTTCAGGCCTCCCACAGCTCCGATACACACGTCGCCGAGACCATCGCCGTTGAGATCGCCCACAGCCGCAGCACTGGATCACACATATGGCGTGAGCGAGCGGTGTGTGTTGGTGCGTGCAGAGGGGAGAGAGGTTCACGTACCGACCCCAGAGCGTAACAGAAGTGCTGCCCGACACACCGCGGAGGAGGAAACCGTTCGTGCCGTTGATGTTGCTCAGGTTCCTCAGGATGTTGGCCCGGACCCTGTTACCGAACACCACCGCGCAAACGCCGGCACCCGAAGACGCCCCGCTGCCGGGGTAACACAGCACGGCATCGGACACGCCGTCGCCGTTAACATCGCCCGCGGCCACGGCGTAACCGAGATAGGCGCCGGCCTAGAGGAGAGAGTGTGGGTTGAGCGGTGGTGGTCGGTCTAGGCCTCCCTTGGGAGAGAGAGGATACAAACCTGGGGACCCAGGATGGAGAAGCCGGTGCCCTGGACGTCCTGCTGGGAGAGGTCGATCCCGGTGTAGGGCGTAGCTCTGCCGAACACGAAGTACACGCGACCAGCTGCAGCACGAGGGCCTTCACAGCAGAGCAGAGCAGAGCAGCAGAACATATGCTCACAGAGTCAGGCCAGGCCTCGCTTCCTCATTTTCAGTTTTTTTCCTCTTTCATCTCCATCTTCATCCACTTGCTTCTGTTTGTCCACTTCTTCATCTTCCTCTTCATCTTCCTCTTCATCGTCATCTTCCTCTTCCTCTTCATCTTCATCTTGAAAAAAGAGAAGAGTACCATCGTTGTAGTTGTAGGCGCCGATAAGGGCGTCTTCGTAGCCGTCACCGTCGAAATCGCCCGAGGCCATCGAGAAACCAGTGTTGTCCGACGCCGTCGAGCCTGGTCAACAGCAACCCCCCGCCCAGGGTCAGTCTCCCCCATTCCAATCCCAGCCCCTATCCCTCAGCGCCGCCTGAGTAGCGCTCCGACGCATCAAAGGAGGAGACAGAAGTGGGGCGGGAGGAGGCAAACCATCGCCTTGGGAGATGATGAAGCTGTTCGAGGTGTCGTTGATGAGCTCCTTGGCGATGTAGGCGGACTGGGCCGCAGACGCGAAGAACGCCATGCACACGGCGAGCAGAACCCACCGCGGGAGCGAACCTTCGGTGTTTTTCTTCATCCTCTTCTGTCTAGAACGTTGTTTCTACGTTCTTCTTCTACTTCTTCTTCTACCTACTCCTTTCTTCTCTTCCTCTTGGCAAAGCCTGTGGTGTGTGTTGTATGGTGTTGTGTGGTGGTGTGGCAGAATAGATGAGAAAAGTGTAGGATGATGTAGTTGGGGGGGGGCTGGTCCATCACATCTCTTGATCTATTCTCCTTCCCTCTTCTCTTCTACACGATTTCCATCGAGTGACTTACCGGTAAGAGCTTACACCAACCAAGGCGGAGTGGGGGGAATGGTCTCTTCTCTACGCAGAGAGAGATCGCGAGAGTGCGGCCGAGAGGAGAGAGCGAGAAAGAGAGGATTTTGTCAGACAACAACACACTAATCTCTCCTTGGCCACACACAACCCCGCGCAGCACCCTGGGGTGGTGGACACGCGTGTCTCTCCTTCTCCGAGAAAGGTCCTCGAGAGGCCTGGTATGGGCTTGGGGGTGTGGTGTGTAAAACGTCAGCCAATTGTTGCGCCTCCACAGCGGACTGTCTGCCTGCTACGTCACATTCCCGCATTCCTTCCCTTTTCGGGCCAAAATTACTGTAAAAGGGTTGCAACCACCTTAAACGCATGCGTAAATAATAAGATTATATATATAAATAAAAACAATAAACAAAGTCACACACTCGATTGGGTACGTTTTACGGCGTGGCGATGTCGCTGTTGGCTCGTCGTAGGCGCGATGATGCAGTAGTTGTTGTTGATGAAGTGGATGTTGGTGTAGTTGTGGCTGCGGTGGTGGAGGTCCTCGGGCTCGTGAGTCGCGAGGCCGGTGAAGCGACGGTCGACGAGGACTTGACCAGCGCCGGGCGCACGCGCGAGGGAGACTTGCTCGCCGTTGAAGGTGGCGGAAGAGTTGACGAAGGGGCAGAAGAAGAAGCCGATGATGTCAAGGGCTTGGGCGCAGACTCGCGCGGCGGAGCGAGAGCCGCTCGTCGTTGGCTACTGCTCGACGAGGGCAGGCTCTTGGAGCGCGCGGCGAACGAAGCCGAACGGCGCGTCGGCTTGGGCTTGTCTGCTGCTGTGGCTGCTGATGGCGACGACGAGGGAGTGGAGGAGGCTGAAGAAGCACCGGCGCTCGAGTTGAGGCGAGGCGGCGCGGGCCGAGTGGACGGTGACAAGGCCGGCGTCTTCAAAACAGCCTTGGGTGTGTTGGGAGTGATGGACGACGTTGATGAAGAAGAAGAAGCCGATGACGAAGAGTTCAAGCGAGCCGAGGCACTGCGCGGCTTGGTGGTGGCCGTGGCAGTAGTCGCGGCTGATCTGGCCGGTGTGCCCACGCGCGTGGACAAGGCCGACTTTGCGGCCACAGACGACGCGGCAGGGCTTCCCGCCACCTCGGGCCTGGCCGCCGTGCGAAGTGCCGTTTTCGGCGGCGTGGCGGTGGTGCTGGTGGTGGCGGTCGGCGCAGAAGCAGCTGCGGAAGCCGCCGCCCGAGTAGAGGCGCGGATGGGCGAAGAGGGAGAGGGCCGGGTCCGTAAGCTGGCCACGGCCGATGTGGCTGATGCTGACGACGATACCGGAAGTGAGGCGGGTCGCGCCCTGAGAGATGATGACGATGGCCGGCGACGCGGCCGGCGGCTTCGAGGGCGGCGTTGTCGCCTTGACGGCGGGCGTCGCCCGCAGTCGCTGCGGTGGTGTTCCCACGGCAGCGGGTGGCCGCGGGGCCGCTGACGCAGCTTTTCTGCCCGTGGTGGAGGTCGTCGTCGATGACGCTCGAGCAGGCGGCGGTGCGGCTTTATCACTCTTCTTCGTGGCTGGAAGGCTAGATCCCTGCGTCAAGCTCCGCCCTCGACGCCGCAGTGCAGGCGGCTGCGGTAGCGCCTCCTCTGCGCTGCTCGCCATGTTCGTGTCTTCTTTTTCATTCTTTTGGTCTCCTTCCGTGCGTAGCTTCGTTCTTCGTGCCGATGGTCGTATCCCGGCCATTGCCGTTCGGTGCCGGTGCCGCTTGCTCCTTCGCGCTTGGCGAGTCGTCTCTCCGACGGGGCGACACCCGCACGTGCGCCGGCGACAGGACACCGGTGGCCGGCAGCGCCACCATCGCTGGTGGCGAGTCACCTCCGCGCCGAGAGCGCGGGGATACAACCTCGAGCAGCGAGCGCGTGTGCGAGAGGCGAGGACTTCCAGGCTTGATCATCTGCGCGCGCGTGCCATGAAGCCCTCAGTATCGACACCACACACACACATCACACACACACACACACACACACACACAACCAATAACGCACGCACGCACGCACGCACGCGCACCTGGGCGGCGCTCTTGTTGATGGTCGCCTCCTCAACCGCCTCCAGGAGGGAGAACTCCTCCACCGGCGAAGACCCCTCTCGGCTGCCCTCACCGCCGCCGCCGCCGCGGGAGTCGAGCCTGACTCGGGGCACCAGCACCGGGGCCGACGCAGCGGCTGGCTGCTGCTGGCCCTGGGTCATCAGCACGTTGTCCTGGCTGCGCGCGGCGTCGGCCAAGGCACGCTCCTTCATGAGCCTGATGCGCTCCATCATGCCCTCTTCTTGTCCTCCAGCTCGCGCCGCCGTCGCTCCTTCATCGCGACCTCGCGCTGCTGCTCGGCGGCCTGGCGTCGCTCGAGCTGGCGATCGCGGCGCTGCAGCTGCTCGCGCCACGCCGTGAGCGACCCGCGCACGAGGGACACCCACGCGTTGACGAGCATCGCCCGCTGCCGGGCCGCGGTTGTCGGCGTCAGTCTACCGGCTGCCGCGACGAGTCGGCGGCTCTCGCGTAGCGCCTCTTCGATCAGCTCGTGCAGTCGCAGGGGCGTGGCGGCGCAATCGCCGACGGGGACCCCGGGACACGAAGCGATGCCGACAGTGTTCTCCACTTGACTCGAATCACCAGACATCATCGATGAATCGATCGGCTTTCACGTGTGGAATTTAAATGCAAACAAATCAGTAAATAAACCCCAGGTACAGAGTTGGTGCCACAAAAAGAAAAAATGTTGGTGTACCTCATGGAAGGAATGGAGAGCAATCAGTTCTTCTTCTTTGGGGTGGCCAACAGTAAGTTTTAATTTATTTAATGGAATGAAAGTTGTGCGTTTCAAGTCACCTTTTCTTTCTTTCTTTCTTGGCCAGATCGATCTGCAACGCGAGGTGGTGCAGTTGCGGTTGTTGTCGCCATCTTGCCGTCGACGTGCCCGCTTGCAGTCGCGCTCTTGTACGCACCCTTCTCTCCGCTTCCCTCTATTTTTTTCCCTCCCCTTCTCCTCTATTGCGCTACTTTTTGGGGGGCTGGCACCTTCACCACTTCCCTTCAACTCCTTTTTGTGACAAACTTGTGCACCACCACCACAAGCAACGAAAGCGTTCATTCACTCCTCGACATGCCGACGCACACTGTTTTTTTCTCACTCCACTTATCTTGCTGCACTCGCCAAGCAGACACACGACCACCGGCCTGGTACTCGGGGGTAGTGCTGCCGCTGCTGCGTCATGTCGAGCACGATCAATGCCTACTACTCGAAGCTGCAGGAGGAGAGCTTCCTGGCGGCGCTGCGGGAGAAGATAGGTACGGCCCGGATCGATCTCGACAAGCACCCGCAGCTGCAGGAGAAGATGGACCAGTACAAGCAGTTCTGCGAACGCCAGCGCGAGCGCCAGCGGAAGAAGGCCAAGCGGGCCAAGAAGAAGCAGGAGAAGAAGGAGAAACGCAAGAGGAAGAAGGACAAAAAGAAGGAGAAGAAGGACAAAGAGAAGAAGAAGAAGAAGGACAAGGAGAACAAGAGCAGGAGAAGAAGGCATGACACGGAGAGCGACAGCGACAGTGAAGAAGAAGAAGAAGAGCGAAAGAAGAAGCAGCGGCCAAGGGGCAACGGGGAAGAAGACCGAAGCAGAGAACGAAAGCGAAAGCGAGAGAACGAACGCGACGCGGAGGTGGACCGCACAGAAGACGACGAAGATGATGACACGGAGGGCACAAGGAAGAGGAGGAAGGAGGGAGGGACAGAGAAGAAGGAAGAGGGAGAGGAGGACCGACTGAGGAAGATAGAGCGGGAGATGATGGAAATGGAGCTGCGGAAGGCTGCGCTCGCGGCGCTCATTGAGGCGCTGAAGCAGGGCTCCCGGGAGAACAAGAAGAACGATGAACACTCGCGAGTGCGGGAAGAGAAGGAAGAGAGAAGGGTGGAGGAAACGAAGACGAAGAAGAAGGAGGAGCGCGGCGTTGCTGATGGTGATGGTGGTGATAGTGGTCGTGATGGTCACGATGACGATGCGGCTCAGGCCAAGCTCGAGCGAGAGCTGCGACTGCGTGCGCTGTTGATGAAGGCAAAGGTAGAAAAAGAGAAAAATTGAAAAGAGAGGAAAATAAATTTCCTGGCTGAGTTTTGATTTGATCAAAGAAAAAGAGAGCGAAGACACCATCAGGTGCACTGCTGTCCCTCACATCACGCGCTCAAGATGATGGAAGGTATGGTTTGCCTCTTCTTGAAGACTGTTAGGTTTCCCAGGGCTCAATTTTTTCTCCTGATGATTTTTTACGAATTGCAACATTAACACTTTGTGTGGCCAACAGAGGACAGCCAGGCCAATAACGAAGATTGGGGCTGGAGCGCATTTTCGAAGGACGCCACAACATCAGTAGAGCCACAGCCATCTGATCCTCCCTCTCAGGAACCTTCCTCCAATTCGAGCGAAAATGGAGTGGTTCGGGGATGGGCCGACGATTTGGGCGGTCTCCTTGTAGCGGCTCCATCTAGTAATGAAGACGGAGGCAGCGGCACCCCGACGGCAGCCCCCACCACCAGCAACGGCGGCGGAGGCTACGACCCGTTCGCCGAGCTGTTGGGGATCGGCAGCTTCGTTCCCACCCCGCCGTCGTCTTCCTCCGCTCAGCCCACGGGAACGGCTCCCCTGTCCACGGGCAGTCCCAGCCTCCTTCCCTTCGACCAGCTGGTACCTACTCTCTCGTGTGTCGTGTCGTGTCGTGTTGCGTGTTGCGTGTCGCACGCGCGAGTGCGGTGTGTACGTACGTCGCTCGCGTCTGACGCTGTGCGCGCGTACACAAGATGGGACCACCGCTACTCGAGGCCTCAGGCTCGAGCGAGGAGGGTGCAGCCAAGGCGGCCGACGACGGCGACTGGACCAGCTTCGGCAGCACCGCCTCCACGAGCGACGCCGTCCCCGCCGAGCAGCACCAGCAGCACACAGCCAACGACCAGGAGAAGGAGGGCGAGGTGGCCATGGAAGAAGAAGAAAAAGAAGAGGAGAAGGAGAAGGAGACCAAGCCAGAGCAGCAGGAGCAGCCTCGGGAGGAAGAGGAGCGAGTGGGCGACGTCGACTTCTTCAAGTCGCCTGCGGTCTCGACCGCGGTGGCCCAGGACAAGGAGCTGGACCGTGAGGCCGAGGTGGTGGACCCGTTCGAGGAGGCCTTTGCCACGCCGGCCCGCAACGACGGCGAGAAGGACGAGAAGGAGGAGGAAGTGGTGGTGGTGGAGAATGAGGCCTCGGGAGTTGAGCCCTCGGGCTCGGGCTCGGCCCTGGCCGAAGAGCTCTCTTCTGCTGCGGATCCGTTCTTCGACGACCCGTTCGTGGTCGGCGCCACCAACGCGACCAGCGCTGGCGGCGGCGTAGGAGGCGACGGCGACAAGAGCGAAGAGAAGGACGAGGAGAAGGAGCGGGAGCGCGACGTCGAAGAGGAAGACGACAACGTGGCCGACGACGGCGCCACGAGCTTTGAGGCGTTCGCTGCCAACGCCGCCCAGGCGCCCGAACCCAAGCGGCCACAGGCGGACGACGACGGCTTCGAGGGGTTCGCATTCCCATCTACGCCTTCGTCTTCGTCGGCTTCCGTGCCGCTCGCTGGCGCGACGCGCACGATCCCAGCCTTCGACTCCGATGACGAAGAAGACGACGACTTCCAGGTGCCGCCGCGGACGCGCCCCGCGGGGGACAGCGGAGGCGACGACGACGAGGAAGAGGACCCGTTCGCCGAACTGGGCGAGCGCAGGGCGAGCGCGGAGAACGTCGCCGCTGCCGGTGGCCCGGAGACGACGTTCGAGCCCGTGGCGCCGCTCGCTGCCACCACCACCGCCACCGCCGCTGCGGTCGGCGTTTTCGACTTTGATCCGTTCGCCGATGCGCCGAGTTCGACCACCACGGCCACCGGAGCCGAAGTCGAGTCACACACAGAACCGGAGGCCGCGGCATTCGAGCGGTCGCCACCACGATCAAGCGAAGAAGCGAAGCCCGCCGAGGGCACCAGCGACGACGACGACAACAACAAACAGGACGAGGAGAAGGCGGACGGGTTCGAGGCCGCGTTCGACGATGAGGAACAGACAACGGCACGGAAATTCGCGGGTGAAGCAGACGAAAAAGAAGCCGAGGACGAGGAGGACGAGTGGCGGTTTACACCGGCACCGCCACTGTCGCCGTCATCGTCGACCGCAGAGCCCACGCGAGAGGAGGCGGAGGCGACCGACGAACCACCATCGCAGACCCCGGCTCCCGCCGTCGCCGCAGCAGCCGCGGCTGATGACGCGGAGGACGACGACTGGGGCGATGACGACGACTGGGCGAGTTTCCAAACGGCCCCGACGTCCGGCTCCGACGCCTCGTCGGCGGCTGCGCCCGTTCCCGCGCTGGCCCCGCCCCCCGCTGCCGCCGTTACTCCCGTGGCTGCCCCCGCCGCCGCGACATCTGCCGCCCCTCTCCCCGCCACCGGCCCGGGTGATGTCAACTCCCTCGCTTACGTACGCTTGTGTGTGTGGTGTGTGTGTGTGATGTGTCGAGTGCGAGCGCGAAGGACCCCACCGGCGTGTTGTGTGATGTGCGTGTCGCCTCTGACACAATTGGGAACGCGCGGTGCAGATCTTCTTCGAAGGCGATGACGATGCGCTGCTGGCGGCCTCGAAACAGCTATTCGAAGCCGCGTTCCCCGCCAGCGACGACGACTCACAGGCAACCGACTCGTCTGCCGACGTGACCAACCTGTCCGATCTCGTCAAGGAGAACTCTCTAGCTCGGTACGTGTCCCCCTTTTCTCTGCCCTGTGTCGCGCGTGTCGTGTGTCGTGTGTTGTGTGTCATTGTCCTTGCTTTTGTTTGGTAGGTCTATTAATGACCACGCGCGTACATACTTCTCATCCCAGTTCCGTCTTCTCTATCCAATATCAATGACCGCGGTGCCCTTCATCCGTCGTGCCCGTCGTGTCGTCCCGTCGTGTCATCTCTCCTTCGCCTTCTTCGACCTTCGCCTTCTCGCCCGCCTCTTCCGTTCTTCTCCCCCAAACTCCTTGGTCTTCGCTCTTCTTCATCACACCATCACCACCGACGTAGATCTCTGCTCCAGCCACCGCCCGATTTCACTTCCATGCCTCCGTGGAAGGGCTCGTTCGCCGAGAAGCATCTTCTCGAGGTAATGCCCTTCCCCCCCCTCCCCTTCCGCTCCCACCCCACATGAACGCACCTCAATTAATTACGTGTTATGTGTGGAATGTGCGCATCACGTGCGTGTACGTTTATGGGGTTGGGTTGGTCAGGCGCTGGACGTTCCCGCGCACCTGATCGGCAGCGCGGGGCCTGTCGTGCCGCCGCTGGATCTGCCTCCGCTGCCGCCCGAAGTGCTGGCCAAGATCCAGCCGCCCCGCCGGTCGCCCCGCCAGAAGCCTCTGACCCCGCTGCAACCCGTCGCCGCCGCTGGTGGTGCCTCGCCATCGCTGCAGCCCGTCCCAGTCGCAGCCGCACCTACCAGGCCGGCTGCAACTCTCGCTCCGCTGCCTGCCGCGACCGGCGGCGGCTCGCCAGCCATGGCTCCGCTCGCCTCTCGATCGCCCGACCTGGCCGGCAGCCCGACGATGCCGGCACAGTGGAGCGCCGCCGCCACCGCCGCGGGACAGGGCCAGCAGTCTTCGCCGAAGCCTGCGGCCCCGAGTGCCGTGGGCGGCATTCTGCAGCCGCTCCGGCCGACGCCAGCGCCCGCGCAGCTCCCACGACCACAGGAGCCTGCGCCGATCGTCGGCGTGACGTCGACCGGCAAGGCCGACGCCACCGATGACAAGGAGGTGGCAGCCGCGGCGGCGTCGGCCACGTCAGAGAGCAGCGCTGCTGGCGGTGATGACGAGGACGAGTTCGACGAGTTCTCAAGCTTCCAGGCGGCCGAGCCACAGACGACCGTCACGCCGGCAAAATCGCCGGCTCTGGTTCCCTTCGCCGTGTTCACGCAGCCGGCGAGCACGGAGGCCTCGGCGGACAAGAACCACCAGCCGCCACCACCTGCCGCCGAACTCGACCTCTCCTTCCTTCCCGCTTTCCTTACCTCATCCTCCTCTTCCTCTTCATCATCATCTGCGTCCTTCTTCCCATCTCCACCACTCCCGTCATCACCATCATCATCCTCAACAGCAGCGTTGACTTCGTCTTCATTATCTTCATCGTCGTCGTCTCCCTCGCTGCCGCTCACCACTAAGTCAGCGAAATCTACGACGACGCTTGCGGCGTTGACGGCATCGAGCGACGCCGGGCCCAACTCCACAAACTCGAACTCGACGACTCCGGCGCCCACGTCGTTGCTCACGCCCAACCCATCGGCCCCACCCACGCTGTCGTCGCTCACCCTCACCTTCGGCCGAGTCTCGTCGTCGCGGTCGCGCACCAACAGCGAGGAGCTCGAGAACGAGAGCGCTCGCGATGCGCCGCTGCCGCCTCCCGGCAAGGCGAAGGCCTCCGGCGGAGGCGTCACATCGTCGACCGCCTTTCCGGCCTTCCCGTCTCCCCCTGCCTCGTCGTCATCGTCGTCTGCTGCCTCGGCGTCGGCATCGGCATTCCCGGCGTTCCCGGCGGCGCCGTCGCTTACCAAGTCCTCCCCGGGAATTCGACCGGCGCCGTCGTCTTCGCCCTCAGCCTTCCCTGATTTTGGCGCCTTTGCCACCTCCTCCTCCACGCCCGGCGATCTCTACTCCAACAACTCCGCCGGCGCTGCGGCTGCGGCTGCTCCGCTGGACCTCAGCTTCCTCGCCTCCTTCACCTCTGCTCCGTCGTCATCTTCAGCTTCGTCGGCGTCAGGCCTGCCTTTCTTTGATGATGAGGCCACCACCGCCACCACTGATCGACGGCGCGATGGCGGCGACAACGGCGGCGATGCGGGCGACAACGGCGACAAGGCTTCAGCCGCCAACAAGGACCCGGCCGACCGCGAGAAGCGACACCGGGTCAACAGCTATTACCAGCGGCGCATGAGCCAGGCGGCCCTGGGCGAGAGCGGCAGCGGCACCACCACCAAGTCCCGGCGCGCCTCCAAGGAGGACGACGCCCCGGCCGGCGACAGCCCCAGCCCCAGCCGCACGCGGCGCGCCTCCAAAGACGCCCAGCTCTCGACGTCGTCGAACGGTGTCGGCGGCATCAACGGCAGCGGCTCGCGCAAGCTGTCGACGTCGTCGAGCGGCGTTGGCGGGAGTCGAAGCCGCGAGACCAGCAGCGAGGCGGTGACGCCCAGGGGCGGCCGACGAGCGAGCCGAGAAGAGGGCAGCGGCGGCGGCAAGGACAAGAAGAAGGAGGGCAAGGACAAGGACAAGGAGTTCTTGGCGAGGTGGCTCGACCAGCTGCCCGACCTCTCGTTCATGCTGTCGTCGACGCTCGTCTTCCCGTCGTCGTCGCTGGCGGTCACGCTGCCGCCATTGTCGCCCCGGTCTTCGTCGCCCTCGTCCGGGGCTCGGCGTCGCTCGGCTTCTCTCTTCGACAACTAGACCACCCTTCTCTCTCTCTCTCTCTCTCTCTGCTTCTTCTTCTTCTTCTTTGATGTACGCAAGAACACAACACGACACAAGACGGCTTGACACCGCACGCACTGGCATGACACAACACGACACGACACGCGCGGAGTTGCAGATTCGAAGAACGCAACAGATCCCAGTCGGCGCGTTGTGCGCGTTTTTCATTCATTCATCCAACAAACCCCAGACACTGCTCTGCTGCCAGAGACCTGCTCTCTACCTCCTGCACACGCACCACAACACACAGGGCACAGACGGTGTAGATCCCAGTAATCGCTGCGTTAGATTTAATCACACTCAATCGAATGACGGCTGCCGGCCAAGCTGCCCCGGTGAGGATGAAGGTCGAGGACGAAGAGACTACACCGGCGCATCTGCGTTATGACTTGGGCGTGCCATTCGAAGAGTTGGATCTGAAGAAGTTTGCATTCTTTTCATCCATCGCCTTCTTCGGCGAATCGCTCATCTATTATCCACTCGATGTCATCCGCGCCCGCTTGCAAGTGGCCCGAGCTGTACGTTCCACTTCTTTTGCCATTCATCTGCCAATCTTCGATTCTTAATCACCCAATTATTACCTCTACACAAATCTCATCTTCTGCTCTGCCAGCCCTTCTCCATCTCGGCGTTCATTCGGCAAGTGCAACAGCTGGGCGTGAGGTGCGTGCATGTATCAAGACCTTGGCCTCATTGCTTGGCCCATCTCAAGTTGCATGCATCTCACACAGGGGCATGTACCGCGGGTTCGTCGCATCCGCCGCGGCGCTGCCGTCCTTCGGCGTCTACTTCCTCTCCTACAACTATGCCAAGGACAAGCTGCAGGCCCTCAACGATCGACACACCACCAACACCGAACATCGCACCGGTACCACCGACCATCATCGCACACACGCTGCATTGGAACACGATGCACGCTCACTCTTCACGTCTTCTTCTTCTTCTTCGTTGTCGCCTTCTTCTTCAACAGCGATGTGGGTGGCGGCCTCGGCTGCGTGCGTGGCGGACGTAGCGTCGGCCGGCTTGCTGTGCCCGGTGGAGGTGGTGGTCCAGCGACTGCAAATCGCGGGCCTGAACCAGACTTCGTACGCGAGCGGCCTCGGTACGTAAGCGGCCGTGTGCGGTCAGGCGTGTGTTCCATGGGTGCAGCTGTGCGCGTGTGTGCCATTGCGCGCGTGTGTTCCATGCATGCAGCTCTGTGCGTGTGTGCGTGTGTGCGTGGACTGACCTAGGCTGCGCCGCACACGCCGCACACAGACACGACGCTGCGAATCTGGAAGGAGGAGGGCTTCAGGGGCTATTATCGAGGGTTCGGGGCCATGTTGCTCACCTACATCCCCGGCTCCGTGGTCTGGTGGGTGTCCTACGAACACTGCAAGGCACGAAGACGCGACACACACAGCCACACACCACACACAGCACAACACAGCGCACACAGCACGCACACAGCACACAGCACACGAAACGACACGACACGACTTGGTCCTCGTCGTCGTTGTACTGACGTTTCGTGCGCCACCAAACAGGCAGTGTTCTCGCGCTACATCACCCAAAGGCAGCAGCAGCAACATCAAGGCGGTGGTGGCAGAGACGAGCTCGTGGTTGGTCAGCACCAACTCGCACAGGTACGTCATAGCAGCCGTGCTGTGCGTGCTCAGTGTGTGCTGTGGGTGCCAGCGTGCGTGTGTTGCGCTGACCGCACACACGTGCTTTACTTTTTGCATGTGTGTTTCTACACAGATTTTGGGAGGCCTTGTGGCCGGCGCCATGACCGTGGTGGTCACGAACCCGCTGGACGTTGTCAAGACGGTACCGTAAACAACCGTAAAGCGCGCGCGCACACACACACCACACCACACACACACCCAACACTGCGATCATTGCGCTGATCAGCTCTGATCGGGCTATGCGTGTGCGTGTATGTGTGTCTGCGACTCAGAGGCTACAAACGCAAGCGCCGTCGTCATCCGCGTCAGGCGGCAAACAGCCCAAGCTCTACGCACACTCGTGGGAGGTACGCACACCTGATCCCCACCAGTCACGAGCCAAAGTAATAACGCGTTGTGTTCGTGTCTTGTGTGTGCGTGTGTCGTCTAGGCGCTGCGACACATGGCCAAGCACGAGGGACTGGCGGCGTTCGGCAAGGGACTTACACCCCGGCTCCTGCTCGCTTCGGTCGTCTCGCCCGTCGCGTCAGTCGTCTACGAGACCGTCCTTCAGCTCAGCCGAAAGCCATCACACGACGTGCGAGCTATGTGAATATAATAAATAAATATTTGCGACTGTAAGGTGGGTCTGTACACGTGCTTCCCGTAGCCTCTTCCCGTAGTCTCACCTCCATCTGTGCTGCATCTGCACATCTATGCAGATCTGCAGCAATCATCTCTTCACCATCACCATCGTCGTTGGTGAAGATTAGGAGGTGCGCTTGCTCTTCTGCTGTTGCTTCTGGGTCTGGCCCTGGAGGAGGGCGGAGCGCGGGGTGAGGCCGGAGGGCATGGAGTCCTCGGGTCCGCCGGCGCTGTGGCGTCGGATGGTGCGTCCGTCCCACGGCGCCTCGGCCGCACTCCGCTCGGCCTCCTTCTGCAGTCGCCGACCCAACACCTCGTTCTCCTTCTCCAACTTCTCTATTTTTCTATGATTAAAGCACAAGAAACAGATGTAAATAATAGAAACGAATAAAATCTCTAATAACTTTCCCAGAACTTTCGCACAACGCACACGCAGCCAACTTGCGCGCGTGCTCTGCCTCAGATTTCTCGCAACCAATTCAAACCAAACACGCACGCGCGGTGCGTGCGCACACGTGTGCGTGTGTTCCTCGCTTGAATCTGGAGCGTGTTTGCCAGCGGCGGTGGAGAAGAAAATACAAAAGCAGGGGTGGATGGCCCGTCTCTCTCTTACTGCCTGCCCTTGCCCCTGGACGTGTCCTCGGCCTCGGTCAGCACCTCGTAGCCGCTAAAGTCGTCGTCGTGCGCGCCCTCGAAGATCCTCTGGAACCTCGATCCCTTTACAACCGCACACGCACACATGTGAGCGTGTGTCGTGCCATGTGTGCGTGTGCCGTGCGTGTGCGTGTCGTGTCGTGTTGTGTACCTTGCAAGCGTGCTTGAGGAAGAGGGTGTCCTTGAGGTCCTGGATCAGCACCTCGAGGTCGGGGTAGGTCGAGTCCCTGTTGACCGAGAACCCGCCGGTCTTGTCCTGGTTGATGCGAATGTTGACCGTCGCGCCCTTCTCGTTGATGCGCGTCACCGTGAACGCGCCGGCGTAGTCCGCCGTGCTCTGCGAGAATCGCACCAGGAACGCGCCCGGACCCTTCTGCAAGCGACGCGCCGCCTCCGACGACGAAATGTCGCCGTGGAACCAACTGTCCGGCCCAACACATCAGCGAGTCCTTTGGTGTGTGGGTGTGTGCGGTGTGTGCGGTGTGTGCGGTGTGTGCGGTGTGTGCGGTGGTGTGTGCGTACTCGTTCTTGAGGAGGTTGTGCATCCGGTCGAGGATGGTGTAGTGGTTGACCACCCGCATGCCGCTGAACCAGGCCACCACATCGCCAAAGTGCTGGATCTCCACGTCACCCGCGCCCTTGTCCGACTCCTTCCTCTTCACCGCTGCATTTGCACGCACGACACACGACACGACACACGCGTGAGTCGCATGGCACACACAGAGAGACGCAAAGGGCCACACACACACACACACACACAGTACCGACGAGGGCCTTGAGGCAGCGGAGGTTGAGGATCTGGGTGTCGGCGGTGGGACCGCCGGCATCCTCCGGCAGGTCCTGGTCGATGAAGGCGTAGAACCGCTCCACGAACTCGTCCCACTTGACGTGGTGCTGTCGCAGAAAGTACTTCTTCCAGAACTCGCGGCCCTTGGCGTCGCTGATGGCGGCCTCGACCAGGATCTCGTCCAGGCGCGCGTTGACCTCGTCAAAGTTGGGCCGCCGGTCGGGGTCGGCGTCCCAGAGGTCCTCGAGGAGGGCCTTGAGCGAGGGCAGGCAGTTGCCGGGGATGGGCGGCCGCTCGCCCTTCACGCAGATGGCCTCCATAAACTCATCGTAGTCACTGTGCAGACACAACCGCACACGCACACGCACACGTCAATACAAACCGCACGACACGACACGCGCAACACACACGACACACACGACACGCACGAAGAGGGCGCGGACCTGTGGTGAGGGAAAAGCTCCTTGCAGGTGACGATCTCCCAGAGGGTCATGCCGAACGAGTAGACGTCGGCCTTCTGGTTGAACGGCTTGCCCAACATGATCTTTTGATGCAAAGCAAAGCGAGCGTGAGTCACACATCCGGCGTTGCGTGTGTCGTTGTGTGTCGTGTGTCACGTGTGTCGTGTGCCGTGTTGCGTGCGGTCGTGCGTGTGCGATGAGCGGGTGGTGAGGGGGTACCTCGGGAGCGCGGGTGAGAGGAGTGCCGCGGGGATCGGCGCGGATGGTCTTCTTGGCCTTGGGCTTGATCGCCGCCAGACCAAAGTCGGCCACCTTCGTGATGTAGGTCTGATCGGTCCGCTTGTACTGTTGCCCACAAATTGTTAATAAAAATGTATAATAATAAATATTTTGCCTTAAAATGGATAAATAGAGATATATTCAAATTTAAATAAGTAGGAAAAGGATGTGGTGTGGTGTGGGTACCATGAGGTTCTCGAGCTTGAAATCTCTGTGGATGATGGCGGGCTCGGTCTTGTGAAGGCGGTTCATGCCGAGGGCGGCCTCCTTGGCCATCACCAGGCGCTGGAAGAGGCGCATCTTGGAGCCCTCCTCGGAGAACAGCAGCTCCTCGAGGTTGCCGTCGAGCAGCTCCATGACGATGGCGAACTTGCCCGGGATGGTACAGGCGCCCATGAATTGGACGATGTGCGGGTGAGGGTTGGTCCTGTTATGATGGCGAAACGTGAAGCTCGTATGAGAATGAGGAACATTGAGGAACGCGCTACGTTTTTAGTACCCCAGGGTACTACTACTGATTCAAGACGATCACCGGGTATCTTGGCAGATGAAAAGCCGGGGGGGGGGAACGTACGCCATGATGTGTACTTCCTTTCGGAAGTCTTCGAGCTCCTCCTTGCTGAGTTGCTGCACATGGGGGAACTTGATGGCGACGGGCAGGGAGTAGCACTCACCCTTGTACACCACACCGAAGCAGCCCTCACCTAGCTTCTTGATCTTCTTGATGTCCTTTTCATCGATTTCCGACGATGTCGGGTCGTCCTTCGTGGCGATCAGGAATGGTGACGCGGCCTTGTTCATGAGGCTCTTCATGACCCACTACTCACCTTGAGCGATTCGGTTCAAGTTTGCGAACAGCTCGCGCGGCAACAACTGTTCAAGTCGCCCAGCAAGGCAGTCGACCGAAATGCAAGCTTCCCCTAAAGTTGAACCAAAAAGAGAACCACCACTCTTCACGGTGCTCAGGAGGATAGTCTCTTCACCTTCAGTCTTCTTGTTGAGGTCTCCCCTTATCTGCTTGAACACAAGGACGAGTACAGATAGGTTGTTCTTCTGAACTTGCAGGGGACTGCCACACCTCTGGTGAGTCCGTTGGAGTAGGGCAGCGAGATGGCGTACAACGCAAGGTCATTGCTAGCAAATGCGTGTTAGTTGTGGTGTTGGTGGTGGTGGTGGTGATAGTGGCTTGTTCGATAAGTGATTGAGTCGAGTGTGGTGGTGTGAGAGCCCAACGGCTCCTTCCTAATAAAGTTAATCTCGTGTGTCCCTTGAAAAGGAAAGTTGGAAGCTTGAAGGTTCAAGTGTCTCGCCCACAGCAAAGACACATCAACGTCAACAGATCAACACATACCCACGCCTCTCTTTCGAACTAGTTCCCTAGCTTGTTGTAGTTGTCGAACATGAACTCTTCAGGAGGAGGTGGTAAGATGGAGTGGTTCACGATGGAGAACCCCTTCGTCCAGAAGCAGAACATGACCCTGGCGCGCGGCGCCTTCCGTCAGCAGCAACTCAGCATCCAGACCGACGCCGTCGTCACCTGGTTGAACCAGCTCTTCCCGGCGCGCAACATCCGCAACAGCGACGCGGCCCTGCTCGAGGCGCTCAAGGACGGCTCGCTGCTGTGCGAGCTCCTGGCCAAGATCGCGCCCGAGACCGGGGTCAAGGTGACCACCTCGGGCAAGGCCGACTTCATCCGCCTGGAGAACGTGGGCGCCTAC